TACTTCAAGCGGAGAAAGGTAGCCTCGCATGACCACGTTGCGAACCTCGACACCACGCTTGTTCATGAGTTGGCCGTCTCGAAGGCAGCAGAGGTCACGTCAGAAATATATCGTCGTTGCTGCCATCAGGTGCTGTACGAGACCCTAAGAAGCGGGCAAGGGCATGACATCTCGTCGAGCAGCCCCCCCCCCCATGTTGACGAAGCTAAGGTGCTGATTATTTATTTGGTATGTGTTTTGGCATCAGGCTGGCAGATGCGTTCCATAGACGCTGTGTCGAAGTTTCATTTGCGAATATTATGCTGTTTGGTGTCGGAGCCTGAGGTGCCTTGCGAGAAACGTCGGGCGTTCGCTGCCGATCTCTTGGAGGCATGTTCGCATTGCCTGAAAGCTGAGCTCAGCGACTTCACTTGGAAATGCCGTTTGCTGTGCGATGCCGAGTTTCCCAATATGAGGGATACCGGCAAATGCAGCGCCGACCTTTAGGCATTGCTACTCGCTTTGGGGAGCGTCTTGCATGCCGAAACCCAGGAGGTCGAGGGCTGGAGCCATGTCTTGCAAATAAAGGCCAAACGGGCACCTGGAATGGGTCCAGCCCTGGCCAACGCGAGGCTACACGCAAAGCATGGTCACCAGCTGAGCCCAGACGAATGCAGCAGCCTCCACGACCAAGCCCTGAATGCCATGAAATCTGGGATGTTTGATGGTCGCTTCGTCCCGCACAGCAACCAGCTCGAGCACCAACTTGTTCCAGCCCCTCCAGGAGGCGAGGCCGCCGAGCCATGCGACCACAGAGACAGTCGACAGATCAGGAAATCAGCAGCCTTAGCAATGGCTGCGTTCAAAACTTTTGAAAGAGGCGCCATAATTATTTACGTGATTGGTTCAATTGGCAAGCGGCGGCTTGGCAACCAACATGATTGTTTTTCTTGGCGTCCTGGTCGTGGAATTCAGCTCTATGGGTGGTTCCGTGCTCAGCTCAACGTACTGGCGCAGTGCCGACTTCACTTTCCGTGCAACTACCTCTCCGACCTCAACGGCTGATCGGGATCTTGCACAAACTTTGGAATGATATGACAAGGCCACCGCGCATCGCAGACGTTACCGCCATCCCGATTGTCAACTACACGGTTCTGTGGAATGACTTCCCGTGTGCCACAGTCGATCTTACCGGCAGGAAATGGCAAGTGCTCCGAGCTCGGCCTGCGCGAGGGCCGAAACGACCGCGAGCATCTGAGGGGCTGGAGCCAGAGCCTGCGCCGCTCGAAGGGCCTCCAGCACATCCAGATGCCGATGAGGTCGAAGTGGTCCATCGTGCTGGAGGGCCTGATGTTGGACCTGGGGGTGATCATCGCGTCGATCGTGGCCATGGCTGTGTCGCCGAACATTTGCTCGACGGCGCTGGGCCTGTCACCGTGACCGAGTTGGCGAACGTGACCTACGAAGGTTCTAGGATTTAGGAGCTCATAGCTTGAAACAATGTATTACCTGCTGTGCGCTAGGGTGTGGGGCTGGTAGGTTGTCTGGGTGGCGCTCTGATTTGCATATTTCTGTGTTGGTTGAGCATGGCGTTCGGGTGGGATGGGGCGTGGTGTTGGTCTGGTGGAGAGTCGACAAGACAAGGGTTGGTATTGGGTGGCGGTGGTGGAGAGCAAGTGGTAATGCTCTCCAGGACATTATGGGGCATTCGCGCTCGTTATCCTTGTCACACATTCTGGGGGTGTTGGTGGTCGTAGCCGTGATGTTGGTATTTTTTTCCACGGGGGCAGGGGTTTCCAGTGGCCCCGATCAGTCGGGGGGAGGGTCCAATGGCCCCAATCAGTCTGGCGCCCCCTAATCGTGCAATGGGTGTTCGTTCATCATGGTTTCTCGCCCCGAGTGGAACTGTAATGCCATTCGAAAACATGCTTAGTTGTTGAAGCGTTGGCCACCAACAAAAACTTAAGGCAAGGCCTAGCCCTCTTTGGCTTCCGAGGAATGCGTAGAACCACCCCCGCGTGCACGCCGCAACAAAATTTTTTTTAAAAAAACGCAATGGCGGCCCAGTAGCAACGTGGCTGATTGTTGTGTTGATCCCCAGGTTGCTTGGCTGCGCGGAAGGGGCTCCGCGACGCCGACGAAACTGCTCGTCGGTGCGCTGGCCCCCTTTGGCAGAGGCATCATATCATTAATCCTATTCTGCGTTGGGGAGGATGAGGAGCACTATCGGTGCGGAGTTATTTTCGCGCGCTGGGAGACTGTGCTCGGCGATCCCAGGACTGCTGGGCCTATTCGCGTGGAGGCCCGAGGGGGCATTATCTACAATGTGCCTGTCGCTGTGAAAGTGGGGTCCCACCCTGTTGCGGACACCGCTGTTATCATCGCCAATGTCCCTGCGGAGATGGCTAAGCGGCGAGCTAAGGGCCGAGAACTTATGCCGAAGTTCGCCCTCACTCTGCAGCGATCCTTCTTGATTCAGCGTTTCGGCGGGCCTCTGCATGTCGAGGCGAGCTCCGCTACCGATCGCTGTGTCCTGTGCGCAGCTGCTAGCAGCCAGGGTCTTGCTAGTGTTTACAGCTCCAGCAAGCATGAGACATATGTGTGCAAAGAGTGCTTGCGCGCATGGCACAAGCCCTGTGCCCTCTTCATGTGCAGGCAGCGGCGGTGCAACGCGCGCGATATTGCATTCGATTTCCTTTCCTTTACCTGTCCACTCTGCCGCGTGGCCAAGGACGAAGAGCTGTGAGACTTCAAAAAACGACCGAAGACGTCAGGAAGCACTAGCTTGATATATGACAGAGTGTTCCAACAATTGGAAAAGCCGCAGTTCATTTAAGTGTTCCCTTTCCAAGAGTTGGAAACCACACTGCCTACGTGCACTACGGCTTTCCAACGGTTGGAAATACACGTCTTATAATAGCATATGCATTTCCAATAATTGGAAAACACATAGCCTACATACACTACGGCTTTCCAATAGTTGGAAACTACAAGGCGACATGTCCAACACTTGGAACTGCACGCGCGTGCGCCGGCTTACGTTTTCCATTAGTTGGAACGCGTGAGGTTTCCAGCGCTTGGAAACCCCTGGACTTACACATGCTTCCATTATTTGGAAAGTGAGGTGTGCACAGGCAGCATTTTCCAATACTTGGAAAACCTGGGTGGGTAACATCAAGACGCCCTGACATCCCGAGCAAGTTAGCGTTTCCAAAAGTTGGAAATCACCAGGCGTGAGAAGGCATAGCTCTTTTCCAGGTTTCACGTTTTCAAACCTGTCGTCAGGGCCCCTGGGGCTTTGGGAAGCAATGTCTGGCTCTTGCAAATCAGGGGGCCCACGCCTGCCTGCCCCCCGCAATGAACCCTACCGTTGCCGTATCTCTATCGATCATTATGCCGCGGGGGTCCTCCTGTTTTGAGCTGGCACCCAGAGCGGTGGAGCCTGGGGCCCTCCCAGCCTGGCGATGGCTGGCTGTCGGGTGCTCGCCAGAGCGCCGAGCGCACTCAAAGACGATGACATCATGTGGCCAGACAGGTTCACGCACGCAACGGGGAGGTACTTAGACAAAGTCGGCTTGGAGTTGCAGAGCATTGTCTTCGACACTTACCAGGTCTCACAGAACACTTGGGTGAATGTTATGGCTCGCACGACGGAGGGTCCGCTCTGGATCTGCGAGAGGCTGGGGTTGGGATGAAGAAGGAGTGCGCGAGGCAGGCCACTGCATTCTAAGGCCCCTCGCGGCCAGCAAAAATAAGCGAACAACGATTCCGAAATGGCCCAATCGGCTCCAAGACGGCCCAAGGACCCTCAAGTCGGCTCCAGGACGCTCCAACATGACCTCAAGAGTTCCCCCTGTAGCTAAGGGCCCTTTGCGTGACGAGAAACCGTTTTCTGGTCGCGCAAACGGGCTGATCCCCCCCCCCCCCTCCCCCGCTGCCCTTTTAATCTCGCGCCGTTGGTCCGAAGAGCCAGGTGGCATGAACGTGAAAAAAGAAAAGAAAATCGAGCGTCAATTGTTTAAAGGTTTGACGCTCGGATCTCGTCTGCTCTGGTCTCAGACTTAGGCAGAAAAACGTTGCCCCAGGAGTTGTTGCTTGTTTTTGTCAGGTGGTGGTAGTAGTAGTTGTACACATACTAGTAGTAATTAACTGTATTGATGATACAACTATAGTGGTATAGGGATAATCTAAATACTAGTAATTGTTATAGTCCTTTTGGCCTCGGAAGGCGCCCTCACAATAAGCGTGGAGATGCTGCAACTGTGCTTCAACGACAAGAGTCGGTCGAACGAATTGGTGCGTTGACAGGTGTCAGGTCTGGAGCTTGGATGGTACCCCGCGATTCACGTTGTCTTGATGGCAGACCGGGCCACAGGCAAAAAAACTACGATTCAGCGCTGTTGTCTCCTCCATTGGGCTTCATTGTACGAGGGCCTCCGAAAGGCCATCGAGAAGGACACCAAGAAAGAACGCAAGAGCGTGCAGATGTCTCTGGCCCAAGGCCTTAGTGGTTGCCGTGTCTTTCGCCAGCGCTCGCCCAAGTACGTCCTCGATTACATCATCGACGTCGGACATGAAACCAACTCAGATTCAAGTGCCACTACATGTCTCCAAGTGCTCTTGAGCGACGAAGTTGTGGAAGCGACTTGGGCCAAAAAGAAGCAGCAATTCGGTTTGTCTATCGGCAGTGAATCTCAGGCGTCCCTGGATGATAAGAAGTACTCCTGCGCCAACAGTGTTTACCCAGGTCGCTGGAAGAGCTACCACCAACTGGAGGTCAGTGGCGCCTTCTTCAGGCGTGCCCGTGCCAAGGGCTGCATCCTCTCCGATGGCCAGGTGTCCTGGGATGGTCTTTGGTCTTGCTGCCAGCAGACGGTCCAATGGGACGTTCAACCACCGTCTCACTGATAATTCCGATTCCAAGTTTGTACAATTCTAAATGCGCGGTTGCAACTCAAACCAAACACGCCAACATGTTTTCCCCATGCCCATCCCCCAGTCTCGATGCACTGGAATTCCAGGTGGACTTCACCCACGAGTCTGTGAATAACAAGGCTGGCGCAGTCATCTCGAGTTCGCATGCTGTGTCGAAGCTGCTTAAGATGGGCTACCCTGACACGGCGCTGCAAGTGGTCTCCATGAATTTGCCGAGAACGAAGGATAAGAACGTCGGTGCCTGTCCCTTTTTGCGGAGCGGTCTGCCCGCCGAGTTCCGTGCAATCACCGAGAGCCACGTGAAGGCCCTCCTCAGTGCCATGGGCGACAGTGCAGTCATGAAGGAGCAGCTGCAGAAGAACGCCGACGCCGACGCCGACGAGGGGGATGAGGAGAAGGAGGATTCTTCAGCGTCGGAGCGATCACAGGCCGGCCTGGAGGAGGAGGGCGACGATACAGCTGGCCGCAAAATCTTCATCGACGACGTGAACCATTTGCTGGACTTCCTGAAGGAGAAGGTCGATCCAAACTTCGCGCACGCTGAGGCGCACAAGGTGTTGGCATTGCATGCTGCCATGTTCAACGGCATCCAGCTGTGGCCGAACCTTTCAGCAGCGAAGCCAACGATGTTCTCGACGTGGACGTCCCTTCGCAAGCTGTTCAAGACCACAGTGGCCAGGGCAGCAAAGCTAAGGCCGCGCCATGATGACACCAAACCTCTCGCTGATGTGGTGGTGGACAAAAGCCCTGCAGCTAATTTCCAACATAGTAACGATATTATGTCCCAAGCCGAGCCGGTTGTTACAGAGTTGCAGAAGTTTGTATCTCTGAACGACCCAGCGCAGCCACTCGCGTCCCACATGTGCAGCGCGCAAGCATTTGGCAACGCCATGGTGAGCTCGATGCCAATCGTAAGCAGTGGGTCACCACCAGATGCTGCAGAGCTGATCGAGAAGATGGTGCTAGATGTCTTGATGGAGGTCTGCCGCAAGACGATCCCTGAGAACTTCGATTCTGTGTTCGGGCACTTGTCTAAAATCGATAAACAGGAAATTGGCCAGACCGAGGCAGCTGCCTACCCTGTCGCTTTCAAGTTCGTTGCAGGCGACCTGCCGATCCCACAGCTCAAAGTGATCAAAGCCATGCGATTGCGATTGCTCGGCCACTTGATGAAGCAAGTCCTCGTGCTCCGCTACAGAGAGCAGCCAGCGCTCCGACCTCTCGTGGTTCAGTTCTCGGAGATGCTTCTTGCATAGTGCGATGCCTCGAAGGTTGGGCCAGATAGTCCGATGTCTATGGTAGACGTTGAGATAGAAAAGGAAATTGGTTTCAAGGGCTCATTTGCTGTGTGGTGGGATTCGCTGTCCAAGATCTCTCAGCGCATTGCGTCGGTCGACATCGCAGGCGAGGCCAAGGCAGACGAGGTTCTGAAGGACAAGTTGCAGGCCATGCGAAAGTCGGAGCTCAATAGCTTCGTCAGCGATCGGAAGCTTACGGCAATTGTCCCAGGGAGCGTGGACATGTTTGCAACCCAGAAGCAAAAGTTGATTGATACGCTGATGGAGGAAGTCAGGTGCAACAAAGGTCCAAACGTCGCCTGTGCCATGAGCTTCGGTTCTTCCGAGGTCATCGCGAAGTGCAAACTGCTCGCATCTTTCGTAGCGCAAGAGCATGGCAAGACTGATGTAGAGCAGGGCGGCACCTGCCAGGTTGAGGGGGGGGGGGGGGAGGGCGGAGAGGGCGACGACGAGACCAGGCCCGAGATCTTCTCGATTGAGACATGGTCGACCAAGTTGCACCAGGGCGAGATCACACGCACGGAGGGGAAGGATATCATCTGCGCCTTCAGCAAGCACAAAATCAACAAGCTCGTGGAGACCGCGCAGGGTATCTTGACGCCGTTCCAGGACCACGGCACTGGCTTGGAGAAGCTCGGGATCCAAGTCTCAGAGACGCAGCGGGGCTCGAGAAGCATCGAGATCGCGCAGAGCACGCCAGGCTTCAAGGTCTCTGCATTCCTTAGTGAACTTGCTGAGTAAAGGTGCGTTGTTCGACCGCATCTTCACGCAGGCGGTGGTCGAATGTATCGCCTTTACGATGGAAGTTCGGTGAGGATTGTTTTATAGCCCTTCTGCAGGCGATGTTCGTTTGAATCGTCTTGGCAAGGTGGTCGCGCTGAGCGTGGGCAACTTCTCGTACAAGGAAGCAGCGATGTTGCCCATTGCCAATTCTGGGGGTGTTATGCTGTTCTTGGATGGCGGTCACTGCTCCGAAATTGATCGCTCCGACTTCGTGCTCGGCGGGTGCGTTTCCCAGACAAAGCCGCCAAAGGCTACCACTAAGGAAGGGGCTGCAGCGGTCGCGGTCGTAGATGCCAACCCCGAGGCCTCAGCGAAGGGGGAAGTAAAGGCGAAGGGGAAGGGCACAAGGAATAAGAAGGCCGAGCAGAAGAATGATAATGTTCAGGTCGTTACGCACACCGTGGAGTTCAAGGGCAAGGTCATCCAATTCCCGACCGTGCTGAACCCAAAGCTGGAGGTCACAGTGCACATGCCTTACCTGGTGAGGAACCCTTCGTTGCCTGAGGGGTATGAGTCAGGGCGCGAGCTTCTTCGTGGTCATTTTCCTTGGCCCGAGAGTGTAAAAGAGCAGATCAAGCAAGCCAAGCTCGAGCAGCAGGTTGCCAAGTTCTTCGCTCTCGGGTAGGGGCTACAGACTTTCCACCACCGTGGTGGTGCACACTTTCCCTGGGGTGGTGGCCTGTCTACAGAGAGGCCACCCGGGCGCTGCCAGCTCGGGCCAGCTGCGGCGCTGGAGTCACCGAGTCACCGAGTGGACTCGGGCAAGTCTCCCAGCGAGGAAAACATTGTTTGCAATGCGTATGTTGCCTCTCATGTTTGAGCATTCGCTGCCACATCTTCGAACTGTGTTGTGCGAAATGCGTCTCTGGACAGTTGGTTGGCTCCCAGGTGCAGTGATCCATGTGTTCTTCGACTGTGACCCCAGATGCTTCAATCGAATGGCTGTGATGCTAGTGGGTGATCGTTGGCCCTCTGAGTTCTTTGCACCACACATCAACAGGTCTGATCTCGTTGTCGAGCATTGCTGGTTGACATCGTGAGGCTTCGCCTATTGCCGCCGCCCCAGGGGAAATAGTAATAGTTATAGTATCAGTAATCATATAAATCGCAATAGTGATAGATGGTAATCGTAATAGTAATTGATAGTGGTAGTGACAGTGATAGTGGTAGCGGTAGTGATAGTCATAGTGTCATAGTGATAGCGATAGTAATAGTACTATTTTTATATACGTGTATTATTTGTTGCAACTTTGCCCCTCATCCATGCATGCTTTGTGCCATGGCACAGCTTCGCGTGACTAACTTTTGGCTAACATGAGCAGTTTTGTAACACGCCCATTGGGCTTTTTGTAAGACGCGTTGGGGCACCCATCCATGTTCGCATTGCACTTTGAACGGTGTCGTTGCTTTGGCACGCCGTGGGGAGTTCAATAACACATATAAGGTTTGCCTTGTTTTCTTATTGCCGATTTGACCCCACAGGAGACACTCACAAGCGTCGGGCCCCCAAATCCCAGAGAGATACAACCTTATCAGTCGTCGTCGTCCGTCGTCGTCGTCCGTCCGTTCGTGATCGCCGTCGTCGTCACCGTCGCCGTCACCGTCGCTGTCGCCGTCGCCGTTGTCGCCGTCGCTGTCTCCGTCGCCGTGGCCGCCGTCGTCGTCGTTGTCGTCGTCGTCGTCGTCGACTGTCGTAGTTGTCGTTTGGCCGTCCGCCCGTCCGTTCGTCCGTCCATCGTGGTCACCGTCGTCGTCGTCGTCGTCGTCGTCGTCGTCGTCTGCAACGTTGTCGTCGTCTGCCTCGTACTCGTCGAAGCAGAACGAGGAAAGTGGAAAGGAGGGATGGATCGACCCCCGATTGCCCCATGATTGCCGATGAGGAGCGTGACAGCCCACCCCGCCCAGGCATGTGCGGTTTCGCTGTTTCGCTATCGGGGCCTATGAGCAATCTCTAGCGGCGATGCATCGCCGATTCGAGCTCGATGTTTCCGCCCCTCAGGCTGGGGCAAACGCAGTCGGGGGTTCGTACTTCGAGGGGCGTGGTTGCCCCAGGGCCGTGGACCCTTGGGCCACGCCTCTGCGTCGCATACCCATCCCCAGGCGCCCCCCCCCCGGCTCCTGCGGCTCCAGTGCCCCGACGGGTTTGCTGGCGCCGGCTGGCACGGCTGCCGCCTCCCAGGGTCTCCCGGGCTTGCCACGCCCTCGCGGCCCCCGCGGCTGCCGCGGCTGCCGCCAGCGCCTCGGGCGCCCACCGTCTCCGCGCGGCCTCGGCCTGCGTAGTGCCACCACGGCGCCGCGTCAGGGTGGGCCCTGCCGTGCCCCGCGCAGCCGCCGAGCGCGCGCGCGGCATGCAGGGTCGCCCGTCGCCAGGCGGCTCGGGTTGCTCGTCATCATTGGAGGGAGGACAATGACGAGGACGATGACGATGCAGACGACGATGCAGACGACGAGGACGAGGACGAGGACGGTGACGGACGACGACGACGACGACGGACGATGACGGACGACGACGGACGACGACGACGATGACGAGAACGGGGACGAACGACGACGAGAACACAGACGACGACGACGACGGACGGACGGACGGACGGACGGACGGACGGACGGACGGACGGACGGACGACGACGACGACGAGGACGGCGAGACGACGACGACGACGGCGACGACGACGGCGACGAGGACGGCGATGGGCGACAACGACCACGACGACGGACGTCGACGACGACGACGAACAACGACGACGACGACGACGGACGACGACGACGACGGACTTCGAGGACGACGAGAACGGCGACAGACGACGACGTTGACGTCAACGACGACGATGACGACGGACGACGACGACGACGGCGACGACGAGGGCGACGACGACGACGACGACTACGACGGACGACGACGACGACACCGACGGACGACGACGACGACCATGTCACCGACGACCGACGACGACGGCGACCACGACTACTACCACGACGACGACGGCGACGCTGCTGCTATTGCTGCTGCTGGTGGTTTCTGCGGTGGTGGTGGTTGTGATGATGATGCTCATCATGATGATGATGAGGATGAGGGTGAGGATGAGAGTGAGGATGAAAGTTGTGATGACTCTGGAGCTGATGATGCTGTTGATGACGGTGATACTCAGGTTCAGGATACTGATGAGGATAAGGATGACGATGTGGATGAGAATGAGGATGATGCTGATGATGATAGTTTTGCTGATGCTGAGGACTATGTTGATGGTGATGGTGGTGGTGGTGATGACGATGCTGCTGATGATGATATGTGATGATGTGATGACGTTGATGTGGAGGATTAGGAGGAGAAGGCCACGGATGAGGATGATGCTGGTGCTGCTGCTGATGATGATGCTGATGATGCTGATGCTGCTGATGATGCGGATGATGATGCTAATGATGTTGTGATGATAGTGTGATGATGATGATGATGCTGTGATGATGCTTTGGAGACGGAGCAGAATGATGATGATGATGATGATGATGATGAGGATGATGATAATGAGCATGCTGATGATAATGATGAGGTTGATGATGAGGATAGGGATGCTGATTGTGATTAGGGTGATGATGATGATGATGGTGACGATGCTGAGGATGAGGATGATGATGCTGTTGATGATGATGATGCTAATGCTGATACTGATGGTGATGATGATGCTGATTGTGACGATGTTGATTCTGATGAGGATTCTGATTATGGATGGTGGTGATGATGCTTCAGATCATGATGCTGATGACGGATAACGATGATAATGCTGGCCATGATGCTGATGGTGATGCTTATGGCGATGATGATGATGATGCTGACGCTGATGATGATGACGATGACGATGGCGATGACGATGCTGATGCTGATGATGATGCTGAGGATGACGACGATGATGGTGATGATTATGCTTATAACGATGACGATGATAAGGATGATGGTGGTGGTGGTGATGATGATGCTGATGACGCTGATGATGCTGCTGATGATGGTGCTGGTGATGATGATACTTATGCTGATGCTGATGCTGATGATGCTGATGATGGTTTTGATTGTGATGATGCTGCTGATGGCGATGATGGTGATGATGACGATGAGGGTGATGCTGCTGCTGATGATGATGCTGCCGATGATGATGATGCTGATCATGACGATGATGATGCTGGTGATGATGATGATGATGATGCAGCTGATGATGATGGTGATGGTGATGGTGATGACGATGACGATGATAATGATGATGCTGATGATGACGATGATGATGATGAAGCAAATGATGATGCTGATGCTGATGAAGATGATGACAATGACGATGACGATCATGATGAAGAAGATGAAGATGAAGATGAAGATGAAGATGAAGATGAAGATGAACATGAATATGAATATGAACCGAATATGATGCTGATGATGATGCAGCTGATGATGACGATGATGATGATGAGGATGATGATGATGCTGATGATGATGATGATGATGATGATGATGACGATGATGGTAATGGTGATGGTGATGGTGATGGTGATGGTGATGGTGATGGTGATGGTGATGGTGATGGTGATGGTGGTGCTAACCAGGTAGTCAGTTGCAGGGGTCGGGGCGGGGCTCACCTACCCACGGCGAGGCGGAACAGGCCCAAGACGCCAGACTGGGGCAGCCCCCCGCTGTGACCCCTACTTGTACCTTCCGCCACCATGAGTTTCGCGGTCAGGCTGCCTGCCGCCCGAGCCCTCGCGGGCTCAGCGGACGCGAGAGTTCACCAGGCCCAGAAAGGGCCGCCGACGGGTTTTTTCGAGCCGCGTCCACTGGTCCTCGGGCCGGGCATGCCCACGGTTCGCAAGACGTGCAGCTGGCTCGGGCGGCTCAGCCTGGCCAGAGCCAGGCCGCCACCGTCGGCCGCGTCGAGCCTCCTGGCAGCCCGCCTCGGCGCAGGCGCGTCCCGGGGCGCGCCGCCAGTTCCGTCGCCGCCGCCGTCGGCTTCGTCGGGCCGCCCAGCCTCCCGCCGCGAAGAGGGCGACCCCTTCGCGGACCTCGACAACGAGCTGGACCTCCAGCAGCTGTGCGAGCAGTCGCTCCACGGACTATCGAATGCATGTGAGAATGCGGGAGAACCAGCTGGCAGCCTTCTAGCTGGGGAACCTGCAGTTTCGGTTGCGCTCCAGGTCAACCATGGCTGGGGCGACCTCGCTTCCCAGAGAGCGCACCCGCTTCGCCGTCCTCGGCGAGATCGAGCTGGTCGCCAAGGTGGCGGAGCACGCGGGCAAGCTTGTGCTCAGCGGTCAGCTGCGTGGCAAGCAGCCTGACAGGTCAAGAGCTGGCCGGGCGCGTTCGCCGACGACCACCTGCGCGGAGCACCCGTGTTGCGCGCGTGGACGAAAAGCCCGCGCGAGGGTGCGTCGGAGTTCGTCAACGATGCAGTCGCCCCCCTGTGGGGCCTGGCCGAGGCCTTAGAAGGTCTCGCACGACACCCTGTGCAGCCTGGGTTGCAAGGAGATGCCCCCCCTGCGTGTTCTGGGCGTGGTCGTCGGGGCCTTCCGCGAGAGGCGCGCGCTCCTTCTGGGCGACGTCGCGGGCGAGGAGTGCGCCGCGCGACGCGCTTGGCCGCGGGGGCGAACTCGTCGACGGGCAGACCCCTCGACACGAGCACGTCGCGCATGGCCTGGCAGGCCGTCGTGGCCACATCAGGGTCGAGAGACACGGTGGCAAAGTTGTCTGCGTAGCCCGCGCCGATGACGTCGGAGTCCTTCCGCAGCGGAGGGATGGCAGCGCCGCCCACCAGCATGGAGCTCTCGTCGATTCCCGAGTCGAGGATGGCCGTGGTCAGGGCGGACTGGCAGAAGTGGAGGGCCCACGACCAGCCCATCGGCATGACGGAAACGAACGGCTGCAGGAAGGAGTTCGTCCCGATGTTCACGCCGTTGAGCCGCTTGAAGCCCAAGTATCGATTCGGGAAGACGGGCAGAGACAAATATCGATGTAGATGTGGCGGTAACTTCATATGGTCAAATGCGCGCTGTATGTCGCCGTGGGCCACGTAGAACTCGCGGTCGGCCTCGAGCGCGCTCCATGCCGACGGAGTCGGCAATCTCGTAGAAGGAGGGGCCGAGAAGGACATGTTGGCTACCCGCGTGTCGAAGACGAGCCGCAAGTTGACGCCGTTGGACTTCTCGACGAAGAAAAACCGAGTAGAGTAGGTAGCCTGACGTTCGGCGACCTCCCACTCAAGCATGCCAGCCTGATCCAGGCGTAGCAGAAAATCAGCATACTCCCGAAGCCGAAATCGAAGACGTGGATCCACATAGGGCGACCCCAGTCCCGAGTCCTTCATGAGTGCAGCCGCATCAGCAGGGTCACGTAGCATTTGATGCCTCCACCCTGACAACGTAGAACGATCAGCTTCAGAAGCGAGGTCGGCCGTCGGGACAGGCGCCACGTGCTTCGGCCAGGAGACGAGCTCCTTGTTGTAGGGTCTTACCCGAGACTCTCCAGAGTACCCAGGCGCCGATGCGAGCAATTCTCCGAGGGCTGCCTCGCATCTAAGAGGAGATTCGGAATATCCAGGAGGTGGTTCAACATCGCGATACTGTTGAGCAAGATACTCCTCAGCGTCACTACGAGCGCGCGGAGGAAGACCAGGAGGCGGGCTGATCACATCGTTCGGGTCGCAGTGGTACATGTCGTTGAGAGTGGACGCCGCGTCGTTGTACCACTCACGCCAGGCAGCACCCGTGGCAGCCCGTCCGCGGGCCGACCCGCCCATGGATGAAGTGCCCGATCTTCGCTCCACAGGAATAGGGTGGAGGGGAAAAACGTCTCGCTGTCGAGGAAGTTGTGCAGCGAGGGGGCGATGAGCCTGGCTGGCCTGTGGCGCTCTGCCAGGCGGGCTTCTACGCGAAGCAGGCACTGCCCTGCGCTGGTGCTCGGCAGCGACGGCGGCGCGGCCCGCGCCTTGCAGCGGTTGGGCTTCGGCGTCGTGCACCTCGACCCGAGTCGCCGCGCAGGGGGCGACATCACCGATCCCGGAGTGATGCGGCGCGTTTTAGGCTGGATTCGTTCTAGCTGCCTCTCGCGCGCGTGGGTGGAACCCGACACCGCCACTTGGCTTCGTCAGTCGCCTGCTGTGCGTTCTAAGCTGCATCCTCGCGGCCTCCCGACCTTGACCAACTTTAAAGCTCGATCTGTTCGCGTCGCCAACCTTTTTCAGGATCAGTACCTGCGCGTCCTGTCTGAATGCTGTTATAAGAAAGTGCCCGCCATATTGTGCCATCCCGACGCGTCTTTTATATGGGGCGGCAGTGCGTGCACCGCTCTTGCGAACCAGAGTTCGTCCTCGACAGTTTTCGACTCATGCATGTGCGCTGGCCGTGTCAAAAACACATTTCGACGTGAAAGATATTGATCGGCTGTCCCTGACCTGTTCACCTGTTGCCTCGCCGTGCCGTCGCACTCGAAAACGACATCCCGGCGAGTTGGGCATCCCATCGTTAGACCGTCAGTTGCGCAGCGCTGCGCGCCACCCTCCTGCCTGTATCCTACGATTCGCATGTGAAATGATGGCCAACAGTGTCGATAGCCTACGATACGTCTCCCGACGAATTAGATGTGTGTGAGAATGCGTTCAAGTTTTGCGGCTTTCAGCCAGTGTCTTGGACTAGCCATAGAACCTGATGCTGGCCCCTGCGGCATCAGAGTTCGTGTCCTCGCCTGGCGCCCTCGTGCACAAAAAGAATCATCTGGCCACGGAGTCGTCCACATTATGCTGCCCGCGGCTATTTGTGGCCCTCTTTCGGGCCGCGCTTCCATTCTCAAGTCTCCCCCCCCCCTTTTTTTTCTCTATTCAAGAATGTTTATTTGGCCTGGTGCTGGCCCCTGCGGCGTCAGAGTTCGTGCCCTCGCCTGGCGCCCTCTTGCGCAAAAAGAATCATCTGGCCACGGAGTCGTCCACAGTGTTAAGATAATGATCATGATGATGATTATGATGATGGTAATGCTGATGATGATGATGATGATCATGTTGACTATGATGATGCGGATGATGATGAGGATGATGATTAGCGTGATGATGGTGATGATGCAGGTCATGATGATGCTGATTGTGACGATGCTGATGATGATTCGGATGATGATGCTGAAGCTGATGATGATCATGGTGACGATGATGACGACTCTGAAGACGAAGATACATATGCATCTTACGATGCTGGTGCTGTTGATGGTGATGACGGTAATGATGATGAGGATGATGAGGATGAGGATGAGGATGGGGATGATGAGGATGAGGATGAGGATGATGAGGATGATGATGATTGTGATGATGATGAGGATGCTGATGATGCTGATGATGAATCATATGGTGTTGATGATGATGATGATGCTGATGCTGATGCTTATGATGATGATGATGCTGGTGATGGTGGTGGTGTTGCTGCTGTTAATGAGTGAGAAGACGACGATGACGATGACGATGGCGACAACGACGATGATAATGATGCCGATGCTTCTGATGATGATGCTGATGATGAAGATGATGATGATGATCATGGTGATCATGCCGATGATGATGATGATGATGATGCGGACGCAGATGACGATGCTGTTCAGGTAGTACCGACGACGACGATGGCGATTCGGCTGACAACGACCATGATGATGGTGATGTTGACAATGAAGATGCGACTGAGGATGAAGATGATGCTGATGACAATGATGATGCTGATGATGATGATGCTGCTGATGATGGTGCTGATGGATGGTGGCGATGCTGAGCTTGAAGATGAGGAATGATGGTGAGGATGATGGTGAGGGTGGTGAGGATGATAAGGATCACGATGCTGACAAATGTGATGATGACGAGTATGATGATGATGCAGGCGATGGTGACGATGATGTTGATAGTGATGATGATGGTTATTATGACGATGCTGCTGATGATGGTGATTATGATGACGAGGATGCTGATGAGTATGATGATGAGGATGAGGATTATGATGAGGATGATGGTCATGATTAGGATGACGACGATGGCGATAGTGATGACGACAACGACGATGATGAGGATGAAGAAGCTGATTCTTATGATGCTGATGATGATGATGTTGATGATGCTGCTGATGCTGATGCTGATGCTGATGCTGATGATGACGGCGATGCTGGTGATGATGATGAGGAGGAGGTGGAGGAGGAGGATGCTTGTCGTCATCATCGTACTGATGACGATGCGATGGCGATGGAGATGGTGAAGTCGACGACGCTGGCGGCGATGCTGACGACGACGACAATGGCGACGACGACGACGATGCGGCGACGACGACGATGACAAAAATGGTAATGTTACTGGCGATATTGCTGGTGATGATGACGATATCAATGGCGATTGCGATGGCGATGAATATAACGATGACGACGGCTGCGTCGATGACGGCGAATGCGATGACGACGACGATGCGGACAATTATGATTATCATTGTATCATGATGGTAAGGAGGAGAAGGAGAACGACGACGGTGATGATGACGAAAAGGAGGAGAAGGAGGGTGATGAGGATGATGAGGACCATGATGATGGGAGGAACAGAGGGAGGTTTCTGCTGGTTTCTTCTGCGCGAGATTCCTTCCGCTGTCTGACAGAGGGACGCCCGCTCGCGCGCCTGCAGCTCAGGCTGCACGTGAGCTTCTGTCTGGGGGGCCAGTCCCTCCCGGCATCAGCGTCAGTCTACCCGTAGATGTTTGAGCAGTCTTTCCAAGAGGCATTTACAAGGGATGTCCACTTCCACTGGTAGACGGACAGGAAGTGCACTGCCCGCGAAACGGATGCGCTACAGCATCGTGCAGGGCAGACATTGTAGCATTCAAGATCCCGCCAAGAGGAATGCACGTGCCTGCCTCGCAAGCATGACATAAGAAAGCGTGTATACACTATACGATGACGTTGACCGTGAAGCGAAACACCTTTCCACATAAGACAGCGTGTAGACACTATACGATGCGTTGACCGTGAAGCAGTATTGCAATAATGCAACCTCCGCAGCAAATACGTCTGGCATTGCGTCATACAAGACAAACACAACCGCAGTGTGATTTGTAGGACAGCTTCCCGCTGCCACACATCTGTCTTGTATGCCCTCTGTTCCCACTCCAGGCTCAGCCTTTAGCCCAAGGTTTTGCCCGCCTCTCCTCACACAGTGTACTGTGCCCACCAATTGTGCACCCCGCCGCCCGCCAAGGCTGTACCGACTGCAGAACATGCCTTCCCGTGCAGCCGCATTCCTACCCAGCCAGCGGTCGCCGGATGGTTATTCCGCCTTGCCGGCTGGGTTCCTCTACCCATCCAGCGGCCGTCGGAGGGGTATCCCGATGTGTGGGCTGGGTGCCCTTACTCGATCATCCAGCGGCCGCCAGATGGGTATCCCGCCGTGCTGGCTGGGTACCCTGCGCGCCGCTCCCGAGGCGCCGTCTCCTCGCAGGCGGCGCGGCAACCCCGCCTGCGGCGCGCACGGAGGAAATGTGCCTCCCGTGATCCGCGCCTCCCCTCCGCAGCGCCGCTTCCGAGTTGGCTGACGGACGCGCCCGGGCGGGCCGCGGCGGGGGCGGCCATTTTTGGTGAGAAGTGGCTGAGGAGAAGGCGGAGGAAGAGGATGATTGGCAGAGGAGGAGTCGGAGGAGGAGGAGGAGGACATCAAGGACGACGAGGAGGACGAGGAGGAGAAGGAGGAGCAGGAGGAAAAAATGATGACGAACAAAAAGGAGGAGGAGGATCGGCAAGAGGCTCGTGACCTCGACATAGTGGACAGCTCCGCGCACTTCGAGAGGCCGATGGAGCTGGTTGAGCCGACCCACCACATCTGCAGGCGCGGCGGCCGCGGGCCGCCGCGCGTCTGGGTCTGGTCGAAGCGAAGAGGGGAGGACCACGACGATTATGATGATGTTGATGATGATGATGATGGTGATGACGATGATGATGCTGATGGTGATGATGATTGTGATGATAATGCTGATGACGGTGACGATGAGGATATTGATGATGATGTTGATGCTGATGATGATGATGCTGATGTTGATGATATTGCCGATGGTGATGGTGATGCTTGCGATGGTGCTGATGGTGCTGATGCTGCTGCTGATGATGACGACGCCGACGCCGCCGACGCCACGATGATGTGCTGACGATGATGATGCTGCTGATAATGATGGTGGTGATGATGATGATGATGCTGACAACGATTGTGATACTGATCGGGCTGCTGGTGATGGTGGGTATCGTGGTGCTGCTGCTGATGATGATGATGATGATGACGAATGAGACGATGTTGTTGCTGCTGATGATGACGACGCTGATGATGACGACGAATACGACGATGATGTTGATGATGACGACGATGATGCTGATGATGATGACGACGATGATGATGATGATGATGATGATGATGATACTGGTTATGGGGATGGTGATGGTGAGGAGGATGAACATGAGGATCAGCATGAGGTTGGGGATCATACCAACGACGACGACCACGATGTCAACGATGGCAACGGCGACGACTACCACGATGCTTGTTTCCCGTCGGGATGATACCGATCACTGCTGCTGATGAGTTCGATGCTGATGGGCATGCTGTTTATGGCAGAGGTGGTGATGTCGACGATTCCGCTAGGTGGGTGATCATTCTTATGATGATCTGGCGCTACCTTGGGTGCTAGTGGCTTGTGGGGCCCCTGCGCGACCAGGATTCCTTGGCCTCTGGCGAATTCGAAACACCCCGAATGCATCCGAATAACACCTAGTCATTTCCAGAACACCCTGCTAATACGACGAACGTGTCGCCGGTTTGGGCCTTTTCGAAAGGGCGACACGAATTTCGACCCCGTCCCCAGAGCAGTTGTTTCGGCACGCCCGTTTTCTGAGGGCTTTGGGGCCCTTCAACGGCACGCTTGGCGCCAGTCTCTCGAGGAAACACCAGTTTGGTTTCTTTGCGGTGTCGGAGGCACCAGTCTCTCCTCTTTTTGCCCTCCTTGTTTCCTCCCGCCTGCCGGATTGCAATCTTTGGGAGGTGGAGTGAGTGCTCGGTCTTGGTATTCCATGGTGCAGATCGGGGCAAATCCCTTTCGATGAAGTTTTGTCCGGCTCACCAGGTCGAATAGTCCTTGAGTCCAGCTTGAAGCATCACAGTCAATTTGCGTACCTCGTATCTTCCACACAAACACCTCCCAGGAGTTGCCATCTGGTGCGTCCGAACGACGTTGCGGATGCCTCTCAGGGTAACGGCCTCGACGTTGCTGGAGATCGAGGTGGAGGCCGCTTGCTGCTCGCAGGCAGAGTGGCAGACGAGCCCCCTCTGCCAGGAGCCGCCGCACTCGTCGTCGTCGACACTTGTCGTATTGGACGTCCGTTGTCGCTGCCGTCGCATGAGGAGCGCGTTGACGATAAAGAGGAAGAGGGTGAGAATGAAGAGGAGGAAGATGAGGACGATACTTACGACGATGATGATGAGGACGATGGGTAGGGGAAGCTGAAGCTGGGGGTTCTGAAGGTAAGAATGAGGGGAACGAGGATGGTGATGGTGATGACGATGACGATGACTATGACGATGATGAGGAGGATCATGATGATGATGTTGATGATTTTGATGATGATGCTGATGATGATGTTGAGGATGATGAGGATGAGGAGAATAGGATGAAAAGATGACGACGAAGACGACGAGGATGATGGTGATGCTGATGCTGAGACGGATGGCGACGACGACGACGCCACGAGGACGACGATCACGATGTTGATGATGATGACGATGATGATATTGATATTGAGGATGATGATATTTCTGATGGTGAAGAGGTTGATGCTGATAATGCTGATGAAGAATAATAGGATGACGATGATCATGATGATCATGATGATGATGATCAAGACGATGATGACAATGACCATGCTGATGATGACGACGTCGACGTTGACGTTGACGACGGTGATGGTGATGATGACGACAATGATTATGCTGATGATGATGATGATGCTGATGCTGATGATGATGATGATGATGATGATGATGATGATGCGAATGATGATGGTTGTTGTGATGATGATACTGACGATACTGATGATAATGATAATTATGACGACGATGACGCTGATTATGCGGCTGATGATGATGACGATGATGATGATGCTGATTCATGATGATGCTGATGACGCTGATGATGATGGTGATCATGATGATGCTGGTGGTGGTGATGCTGATTGTGACCATGATGATGATGATGATGCTGGTGATGATGCTGGTGATGATGCTGATGATAATGCCGATGCTGATGATGATGATTATGGTGGTCGTGGTGATCGTGATGTTGATGGTGATGGTGATGGCGATGCTGAGGCTACGAACGATGCTGATGCTTATGATGCTGATGATGATGGTGCTGCTGATAATGATGATGATGATGATGCTGCGGATGACGACGACGATGATGATGATGATGCTGATGATACTGATGATGATGATGATGATGATGATGATGATGGTGATGATGCTGCTGCTGGTGATGATGAGGATGATGCTGATTTTGATGATGATGATGATGCTGCACATTTTGGCGGTGGTGGTGGTGATGGTGATGACCCTGTGGTCCGCATCTGCATGGTGGAGTACTCGCACAGGGCCATCCAATAATGCGAAGGCCTTACGGCTGGTGCCGCTGGATCTTAAGGGGGACGACGACGACAACGCCGGCGGCGGCGGCGACGACGACGACGACGCTTACGTGGGCCAGAGTCCGCAGGGATGCTTTTGGAGGTGTCTTCGGAAGGCTCTCGGGGGCCTCTGGGGAGGAGGCTTGAGGCCTCTTGGGAACCTCTTGGGAGCCTCTTCGGGCTTCCTGGGGACCTCTTGTGGGCCTCTTGGAGCCTCTTGGGAACCTCTTGGGGCCTCCTGTGAGCCTCTCGGGGCCGAGGGCTCGAAATGTCTGTTCGGGTCTCTCGTCTGGGCACGCTTTTGGAGCCGTCTTCTGGGCCTCGTGGGCCGTCTTGGAGGCGTTTTGGGCTGTCTTGGGGTCTCTTTGGGCTGTTTGCATTCGCGCAGGACCATACGGTGAAGGCCTTACGGTCGGTGCCGACGGCCCTGGACGAAGATCCCCATGGTGAAGGTGACAGCCGGAGGTGTTCGGAAAGGTTGGGACCAGACGCCCCGAAGAGTTGCCCCGAAGCCCGATGAGGTTCCCAAGAAGCGTATGACCAGGCGCACAGCTTGTCCAAGCTGTCTGTGTGGCTCTCACAGCCGCTGGGGGAGGAAGAGGGGGCGACTCAGGAAAGGGAGGAGGAGGAGGCGGAGGACGAGGACGAGGAGGAGGAGCAGGAAGAGGAGGAGGAGGAGGAGAAAGAGGAGGAGAATGAGAATGAGGAGGAGGAGGAGGAGAAAGAGGAGAAGGAGGGAGGAGGAGGAGGAGGAGGAGGAGGATCATGTGTTATTATCTTGCACAGTTGTGTTCTAGAGCTCGGACCTTTTTGTTTTCGCGGTTCGTCGTCGTCGTCCCCCTGGCTCTGGCTTCCCATCCTCGTCGTCGTCTCCCTGACCCCCATCCCTTGGCCTCCGCGCCCCAACATGGACCTCTGGCTCCTGGTCCTCGCCCCAGTCGTCCTGCCCTGCCCCTGAACCCAGCCTCCCTCTTTGGATCTGGCGTCCCCTGGCCCTGGCCCCAGCCACACTCGCCCTTCGCCCCCGTCCTCCTGCCCTGGCCGTGAACCCAGCCTCCCTCCTTGGCTCTGGGGCCCCCCCCTCGCCCCAGACCCTTGATTTTCGTGGTTCGTCGTCGTCCCCCTGGCCCTGAACCCAGCCTCCCTCCTTGGCTCTGGCGTCCCCTGGCCCTGGCCCCAGCCCCCCTCGCCCCGGACCATTTATTTTCGTGGTTCGTCGTCGTCCCCCTGGCTCTGGCCTGCTTCCCCTGGCCCCCTCGCCCCCGTCCTCCTGCCCTGGCTCTGAACCCAGCCTCCCTCCTTGGCTCTGGCGCCCCCCCCTCGCCCAAGACCATTGGTTTTCGTGGTTCGTCGTCGTCCCCCTGGCTTCCCCTGGCCCCCTCGCCCCCGTCGCCCTGGCGCCCTGGCCCCAGCCCCCCTCGCCCCGGCCCTTTTATTTTCGTGGTTCGTGGTTTGTCGTCTCCCTGGCTATGGCCCGCTTCCCATCGCCCCCGTCCCCCTGGCTGTGGCCCGCCCCCCCTCGCCCCCTCGCCCCAACCCGGACCTCTGTCCTCTGGTCCGAGCCCCAGCCCTCTGGCCCTGGCTGAACTCAGCTTGTTTCCTGGCCTTGGCCCCACTCGCCCCGACCCTAGCATTCGCCCCAGCCCTCCTCGCCCAGGACCGTGTATTTTCGTGGTTCGAACCCGAACCTCTGGCCCCTGGTCCGAGCTTCAGTCCCCCTGCCCTGGCCCTGGGCCCCCACTCGCCCCGACCCTGGCCTGGCCTTGGCCCCAGCTCCTCGCCCCAGACCCTCTATTTTCGTGGTTCCGTCCCCGTGGCTCTGGCCCCTCGTCCCCTGGCCCTCTCGCCCCCCACATGCCCCTCCTCTTTCTCTCCTCAAATGTGCAAGAACCAGGGCACGCGTGCCACTTGTTTTTTAGCGTTCCGACTGGGTGAGCAGGTGTATGGTTATAGTGGAGAGCAAAGGACATGAGGTGTGATGCATGAATTCTTTCTTGTTCGGGTCAAGCTGCATGCGCCTTCATGGAACAAATGCTCCTGCCATATCATATTTGTCGGCCAGAGCCGCTATTTCGGCGAAGTGCACGACTTATGTGAGGACGCGAGCTCGTGTGGGGTCTGGCCAGTCTGGCACGACGACTAGTAAGAACGACTAGTAAGAGCATACGTGGAGGAATACGAGGAGAAAAGAGGGGAGGAGGAGGAGGAGGAGGAGAAGGATGGGGAGGAGGAGGAGGAGGAGGAGGAGGAGGAGGAGGAGAAGGATGAGGATGAGGATGTGGAGGAGGAGGAGGAGGAGGACAAGGAGGAGGAGGGAGGTGGAGGGAGGAAGGGAGGGAGGGACAAGAAAAGGGAGGGATGTGTAGGATAACTTTGATGGCCGTGAGGGGTATGACCAGGAGCAGGAGGAGGAAGCGGAGGAAGAGGAGGATGAGGATGAGGAGGATAATGTAGGGCCACGGCATGTGGGCGAAAAACGTGCTACGGGGTCGGGGATTTGGAGTTTGCGGATGATGATGATAATGATGATGATGTTGATGTTGATGATGATGATGATGATGATGATGATGGTGGTGGTTGTGATGATGATGATGATGGTGGTGATGGTGATGCTGATGATGATTATGATGATGATGATGTTGATAATGCTGATGGTGATGATGGTGATGATGCTGATTATGATAATGATGATGATGAGGATGATGTTGATGATGGCGATGACGATGATGAGGATGATGCTATAGGTGTGATGATGATGTCGATGCTGATGATGATGGCGATGCCGATCCTGCTGATGATGATGACTATGATGATGAAGATGATGATGATGATGATGATGATGATGATGATGATGATGATGATGCTAATGCTGATGATGATGCTTCTGATGATGCTGATGCTGATGACGATGATGGTGGTGATGATCATGCGGCTGCTGATGCTGATGATGACGATTATGATGACGATGCTGATGCTGCTGCTTATGCTGATGATGGTGATGCTGATAATGATGATGACGATGCTGGTGCTGGTGGTTATGATGACGATGCTGATGATGGTGCTGCTGATGCTGATGCTGAGGATGAGGATCATGTTGCTGATGATGGTGATGATGATGATTATGCTGCTGCTGATGATGTTGTTGATGATGATGATGATGATGCTGATGCTGATGCTGATGATGATGATGATGATGATGATGATGGTGATGATGATGATGATAGTGATGCAGATGCAGATGCAGATGCTGATGATGATTTTGAAGACGATGATGCTGCTCATTCTGATGATGCTGATGATGACGATGATGCTGATGCCGATGATGGTGATGCTGATGACGATGCTGAGGGTGATTACGATAATACTGATGATGGTGATGATGGTGATGATGCTGATGAAGATGCTGCTGATGATGCTGATGCTGCTGATGATGATGCTGATGATGGTGCTACTGCTGATGATGAAGTTTTTGATGATGATGTTGCTGTTGCTGCTGATGATGCTGTTGATGATGATGGTGTTGTGGTGGTGGTGGTGATCATGACGGTGATGCTGCTGATGCAGATGATGACGCCGATGAGGGGGAGGTGGAGGAGGAGGAGGAGTCGGATGAGGAAGAGGCGGAGGAAGAGGCCGAGGACGAGGAGGAGAAGGT